GTTTGGGGGGGATTTGGGCTGGATCCCTGTCAGGATTTTGGGGATGATCCGGGGTTGATTTGAGGGGCGGATTGGCCCTGCGTGGGTGGGGAATAATTTCTTTCATTTGGGCCGAACCCGGGCGCGCTCTCCCAGCGGGATGTTGGGGACCACCCCCCCATTTCCCGTCCCCCCTGACGCATCCCCAACCCCTCCCAGTTTACCACTGGGTGGAGATGCGAACCAAGATGCGCCTGCTGGGATTCCGGGGGGCGGCCGTGAAGCCCCTGAACGAGGAGGCGGCGGCCGAGCTGGGGGCGGAGCTGCTGGGGGAGGCGCTGGTCTTCGGGGTCGGGGGGCTCTGCCTCTACCTGGAGTACCTGAGGCAGGCGGGGCAGAGCCGGCGCCGCGAGGAGCACCTGGAGCAGACCCTGAGCGACCTCCGGGACGGCCTCGAGCGGCTCCAGAGGGAGCTGGAGGAGCTGCGGGGCCAGGGACACGCCCAGGGCGGGGCTGAACACGCCCAGGGCGGAGCTGGACACGCCCAGGGCGGAGCTGGACACGCCCAGGGCGGAGCTGGACACGCCCAGGGTGGGGCTGGACACGCCCAGGGTGGGGCTGGACACGCCCAGGGCGGGGCTGGACACGCCCAGAGAACCTCAGGACACGCCCCCACCCAAGCTGTGAATGGCGCTGACCCCGCCCCCTCGGGCTCTGGACACGCCCCTGTCGCGACAGGCCACACCCCCACGCATTAAAGCGCTTCCGTGTTCTGCCCGCGGTGCCTTTAAGGGGCGGGGCTAAAGGGGAGGGTGGGCGTGGTCAGACGAGCAGGACAGCGCTGATTGGTGGAGAGGTGCAGAGGGATTTGGGCAGTGGGCGGGGCTTCCTCTACAGAGGGCGTGGTCATTAAAGCCCCGCCCCTTCGGACCCCGCCCCCCCAAACCACGAGGGTCGCGTAGAAAATTTTTTATTGGTGCTGGGCGGGGGAAACCCCCCAAAATAACCGGAAAAAAAAAAACAAAAAAGAAAAAGTGAAAAAACCCAAAAGTGGCTTAAAAAAGACCCCTGGGGAGGGGAGGGGAGGGGAAAGGGGGGCGGGGTTTCCCCTTTTCCCCTCCCCCCACGTGTAAAAACGGGGTCCCCGATTGGCGGTGAGGGGGGGGGAGGGGC